ACGAAGCTCGAGCTCGATAAAATCGAGCAACAAAATACAGAAAGTGACTCATTTTAATTCCGCCGCATTGCCAAAAAGCAATTTAAAAGTGTAATAATGACAGTTGTTCGATTTTTAGAAGAAATTTCGTACCTTTGGTTACTTATTACCTAATTGGTAATATGTTTTTAAAAGGACCCTTTTCAATTGGAATAATAGTACAATAATAGAATTACTGTTGATAAAATTTTGATAAAAGTTTTATTTTGTATTTTTCAGATATTGATAAATATCATATTTTTTGTAATCTATTCCCAAGGAGAGGATGATGGAAAATATCGCCCCAAAAAGTATAATATGTACGATGATGGACGATATTACAGACCATTAGATGAAGGTAAATACGTACCCGGCGACGAGGGTAAATATAATTACGTGTATATCAACAATCTATATCCTGCTCTCCCATATCAACATCAACAAGGTCCGAACGGTGGGAACGGCGGATTTGGTGGTGATGGACGTTTCGGACCAAATGGTCCCAACGAATTAGATGATTCAAATAGAATACAATATATAGGAAGGAGAATATATGCTGAAAGGTATCCTTATATTCACAAAGTGATAAAAGCCTTAATTGATAAATATGTATCGACGAATATTTTGTTTGGTGAATCTTTAGAAGGCAGCTCGAACCACTATAGTAAAATATATGCTGATAAGGAATCAGTCGTGAAATGTCATTATTTAAAAAGCGACAAAGATCAGTTTAGTAAGAACAATGGCAAGATCAATGATTTTGTGACTCAGTAAGTATTAGTAAACTTTCTTGTCATAAGTAACTTTTCAACAGTGACTTCACATACGTTGTCCTGTATTATATATACCTTGCTCTTGAATCACTATGTAAATTGCTGAAAATCCCATTGAGAGCCATTGAGATCGCATTGTCTAGCTTAAATGAACTCGGCGTACAGACAGCGGACAGCAAAACATATGTATATACTACCTACACATAGTACCTATTGTCACGACTTAGGATTCGGGATAAAAATTAACGCCAATTATAGTTGACAATCATAGATAGAAAATAATCCAATTACAAAATTCACACTTGAACTTCACTATTGCACGTCACTAATAAGACTTCACAACACTATTACATCGTTTATCGCTCTAGTTATCGCTTCCGATTTCTCGGACGGGTAGTTCACCGCGTATTTATAGGAGCCGATACCACATATAGAAAATTCTTGGTGTTTTCGAGGCGTTACCAAAAAGTTCAATAACAGCGCCCCTTTCGCGCTAAGTGATTGTCCCTTTCTCGCCGACACCCGATGTATGCCTATATGACACAGGTAGTAGGCGCATAACGCCATCTAGTAACGCGTAGACCAACCGCGCAGCTGCGCTCCGTAATAGTATAAAACAAAGTTGCTTTCCGTCATATGTATCGTATGATGAGGTCCTTTAAACTATACAAATGCGCCGCAACTATACAACGATTAAAACTATATGCCAGGTACCAAGTGGATTTTTAAGCATTTTGTATTAAGAATAATTTTCAGTATGGCATTGTGAATGGAAAATTAATCAAAAATATATGCAAGTCATAAATTAATGAAACTTCTAATGAGGTGGAGCGAAGGTTTTGTATAAATAGTTAATATTAACCAAAATAAATAGAAATTAAATTGATATATGAATTGGTTTTTAGATAAGTTTTATTTATATATTCGATAGATAAAGTCGTAATATAATTATATTAGTAAGGATATAATTATAAACCGTAACATAGTTAAACGAAAGGGATCTAAACTGCTTGTATGATTGACTACTTAAAGTCACTTTACAGGTTAGAAATTTTATGTTTACATAAGAAAGAAAGTAACAGCCTATATTAATTTAACAATAAAATTAATCGGATCTAGGTTTAAAAACTCGTTTCATAAATCTAAACAAGTTTAGTATGTTTATGGAGCCTATCATATGGTAGAGTCATTATTATTTAACTAAATTAGTTAAGATAGTAATAAATCGCTCTCATATAATGTTGCAGTACATAATTATATCCCTAGGGATATAACTTTATTACTTATTTATATATCGTACTGTTATTTGTCATTTGGAAGTATGTTTATTATTTTAATATGAAAACAAAACTGATGATCCTATTCTGAAAAGAAAACATTTATCGAATAAAAAAAAAAATCTAGGGGTAATGTAATGGCAAATTTCTAGGGGTTCGCGTAGCCCACTTTAAGAAACCCTGCTCTAACTAATGACTAATACTTTAAAATTATATTATAGGTACCCCCCGCGGATGAATTTGGCAGACGGAGCAAACCTGGGATCATATTATAGCTTTAAGGGAACTAAAGTTTTGAACTCTGTAAATAACGCTCTTAGGAGTGATATAAAATTGGAGTATGAAGTATTCGTCCGAGTTGTGGACGAAGTTACTGAACCGTAATCTGTAGTGGGTATTTATAGTCAATAAAAAAATTAAGACAATGTTGTCATTTAATTATAGAATATTTTAATTAATTACTTTACTATATATTAAATGCGATATTTAAGAGATTATTAAAAAAAATATTTGATTCAATCACAGACTTTTACTTTTCCTTTCTTCTTTTCAGGTGCTTTTGACAACGCGACAAATTGTTTTTTTTTTACCAATGCAGAATGGTATAAATACTGATCTTTGAAATATTCGCTTAAGGAAATTGCTTATGAGTGATTTAAACCATCGTTGAAATAGTCACAGTTAATTTACCATCTCAGAGTGGATTTTTTAAGCATTTTTCATTAAGTATAATGTAGAATTTTTTAAAGACAAGAATTGTTCGTAACATGTTTTTTATAATATCTTATTGTAAATTATTATCATAATTATTTTATTTCTTGGCAGATAGACACTGCCTTTAACCTACTAGCTTTTATCTCCATAGGTTGGTAGTTCTTCAGATATTGTGCTTAACAACACAATAAATGTAGAATTTCCAATTAAAAACAACCAGGAGTTGTAGTCCTAAAACTAAACTTTGATTCAACCGAATCAGCTTCATCGTGTTCTGTTCAAATGTATTAGAATAAAAATATATAAGTTAGAGCAAGACGAAACGAATGTCGACTTTAAGACTAAAGACTCTGGTAACAGTAACCCAACGATCGAAACATATAATTATGTATCAAATGTTGTGTACATTTTATACGATTATAGTTTGTTTTGAGTGTTAGTTAAGTAGAAAAGCGTAGTCCCTTAGTGGTTTAAAGTCACTACTATCTATGTTTCAATTAAAACAAAATATTACTTTAATTTCTATGTATAGCTAATTACTGACAAATTCTAACATATCAAGCACGAATTCTTCAGTCGTTATTAAAATTAAATAAGATTCATTATTTTACGATAATAAATTATAACGATAGAAACACTTTTTATCTATCAGCTTGCGCATAAATAAAATAAAACATTATAAGAAGTGAATCGGAATTCGTTTAGAACTTAACACGAACAAAAACATTCAGTCCCAAAATGGTAATTTATATGGCGCAGAATTTCGTGTGGGAGACATTCCGTAAGGAGAAAAATGACAATGGTTGATATAATCTACTATAACCTTTATGATTCCTAAAAGGGTTACTAATCTAGAATCTTTAAAAGTATTGCAGGTGTCTAACCATTTACGAGTACCGATATAGATAAATATTTGTATTTTGAAACCCGAGTTATAGTAGCAGCTACGAAAATATATTTGAGGTTTTTAATGATACTCGTAGATATCAGATTTAGGGTTTCATAGCAAAAATTGTTATATTTTCAAAACAGTTTTTTGATGGTAACTCTGACGAGATATCATAAATACATATAAGACCAATACATACGTACCTCACACGACGGGGTTGCGTTATTTTATCACAAAGTTCCTCTAGCCATCTTTCAGTTTCATCATCTTTTTTTCTTTATCAGCCTTCTAAGGTTCATAGGTTTGTAACTAAGGTTTATAGTTGTATAATAATTGGCGTTAATTGTCGGGATTGGGATAACGTTTGTATGAAACTTCTTTGTTTTTGGAAACTTTCAATGAAAATTGGTATTTGAGTAGTTTAAGACTCTGGGTTTTATCTCAAAAACCAGCATTTAAAGCGATGAAAATAGGAGTGGAAGTTTTTATGGGGAATCAAAATGTTACCATAGCAACCATTGTTTACTATTGATTTGTCATTGTAGTCTTATTGTAGTAAATATGTCTAATATAGTAAAAACTGTTGAAAAAATTAAAATTAAGTAAGAGTTCGATGGCGTAGTGGTCAGCGTACTGGGACTGAGATACACGGACGAAGTCGCGAGCAAAAGCTAGTTTTAAATAAGTCCTCCGCCGTGTTTGTCACTTAAATGTGTCCACATGGAATATTCATAAGGATTTTACGTGTTTTAGGAAATTAAATAATAAATGAATGTTTCTTAATGCATTTCTTAAGGTGTTTTCGCAACGGATTGTAGAAGCTATGAAAAAATATATGCCGACCGACTGTTTACTATGCGAGTTAACAAGCAAAATATTCGATATTCATTTATATATATTCATATCACAAAATATGGTTCTCAATGGTATTTTATTTTTAAATCTTTTTAGTTATATATTCTTGAATGTATACATTAATACAATTTATAGACAATAACCTTCGAGAAAACCATTAATTGAATTATTAATGTGACACATGTATTGTATTCTTAACAGCGCATAAATAACTAACATAGCACGACGTTAGTATATTATGAAATATTAGTATGTTGACGGAAGGACAAACTACTACCACAATGATCTAATTTTGAGTTTGGGTGGGGCCAAAGAAGCGATATATCACTAGGCCGACCAAATAAGCCGCCATGAATGCCAAGCCAACGAATTAAATTTACATTTTCTGCAATCTAAGTCGATATGTTCTTGCAATAAATACTCCATTTTCGATTTTGACGATTGTATAAAAAGAGTCGACGGACGGCCCATTTCATCATTCGATTAGACTTTGAAAAGAATGAAGTCCATTGTGGTGAGTAGTGTAAGAGAGTTTGAAATTATTTCGTGGATTGTTATAATAAATGTGATCTGATTTGTACAGTTGGCTGTGTTGGTGTTAGCTATATCTAGCTTTAGCTTCGCTGAAGACGATGGCCAGTACCGCCCAGAGCTATATGGTGGAGACGATGGAAAATATCGACCCAGCAAGGAGGGATTCTACTACGACCCTTATCACGGATCGTACAAAATTTATACTGCTTTAGATAACAAGTATAAGAGCCTGCTTGCTAAAAATGGAAAATATGATTCTTTTTACACTGCATATCAACCAGTTTACGTGAAGGAATATGATCCATATCAGCAGTTCTTGACTCCTTTCGTAAAATATGGTGATCAAAACAGGTAAAAATCCAATTGTTAAAAATGTCTGGTGATCGGAAAGCTGGTCTAAACCTCGCCTAAGGAATCAGTCTGGCTAATCAAAGTACTCTCAGTCTTCTGGGCACTTGCCGACATACGACAGGTATATCGGCAATGATTTGGGGGACATTTTTTATCTAGTACATATAGTTATAGTGTTTCATAATCAATTCATAATTCATAATCATAGCATTAACTTTCATAATCAATGAACTGTAATTAAGAATGAGAAATTTGTATGCTCTAAATTTTTTATTATAGGTATATTGCAACGTCACATCATACTGATATTAAGCTCGTAAAATTCGAAACAAATTATTGATTTTAAAATTATTTGAATATTCAGGTGGGTTTCATACCACAAAATAAAAACGGGATTACTGGCGTATCCGTCTGTCTGTCATAGATTATTCGCTCCGAAAGAATTGAACCGATTGAGTTGAAATTTGTAAAATAAATAAATAATAAGTTAGTGACCCAAAGACGATGGTGTAACGTTAATAAATGTTTTAAATATTTTCAGGTAAAAATTAAAAAAATAGAGACAAGTGTTTTATTGTGACAAACTCAGGTGTATTTTTCAACTATTTCAAAACGATTAGAATCGTAGTTAATTAAGAGAGTAGGCAAAAAATGACCATACTTCTGATCACCAAAATACTGGGTCTAAACTAAAAAAAGTTCTTAATTTCTCCTACCTAAACAAACTTATTATTTCAGTATTTATTATTTACTTTAATAACCAACAACAATCTATAATTTCTTTTTAATTTTAGTATTTGTATATAACACTCGGTGCACGAAATTACCGAAGTACACTCTCTCTTGACCAATTATTTATATATTGGTTTGATATATTTATTTATAGTATCATGATTCTTGTAGTTATTGAACCAATTCTAATCTAATAAATGTTTCAGCTTGGATCCATATATTACGTCACCTGTAACTGTGACTTACCGTCCTCCTGTAGTACCTGTTGTACCATCAGTGCATCCATTTGTATACTCATCAACACCTCAACCTGTTGTGTATGCGTCTACACCTAAACCTGTCTTTGCTTCATCTGTTGAGCCTATCGCATATGCATCAGCACCTAAAGCAGTATTTGCGTCGTCTGTTAAACCTATCGTGTATTCATCAACAGCGAAACCAGTGATTCATTCAGCCACTGCGAAATCAATTTATACTTATCCAGTATATGCTAAAACCTTTAAAGATTATGAGGCAAATGCTAGAATAATTAAACAGGATAACGATATTGATCAAAATGGGTATCATTACGCTTACGAAACGGAAAATGGAATTAACGCCGAAGAAGCTGGTGCTGTTGGCAGTGGTGGTACTAAGGCTAGAGGCTTCTACGAATATATCGGCGATAATGGTCTTAAGTACAGAGTCGATTATACTGCTGATGAAAACGGCTTTAGACCTAATGGAGCTCATTTGCCACAGTGAGAAGATGATTCCTATTCCTTTTCCGAAGATGGATTGTTAACGAAATATTGTAATGTTTAAAATATAAAACGAAGGCTATTGAGTATTATCGAAATAAAAGACTAGAATTAACTAATGTCGTGCTTCAATTTTTTACATTTTTTAGAGCTTAAAAATGTTTACCGTATTCTGATTTGATCTATTATAACTATCAATTGATAATTACAAGTAAGGTTTTGCCAAATTATATAACTTGAAAGCATTTTTAACTAAAAACCCTTAGTCTTCGGGCTTCAATAAATAACTTATAGCCCTTGGCGTAAATAAAAATATATATAACCAGAAGATTACATGAATACAAAAATAAAACTGGCTAAAGTGTAAGCCTCGTACGACTTAACATAACACCTATTTTATTTTAGTAAAGAAAACGGAATTTTATTTTCGAAGATTTATATAGTATCACGTTAATTTGAACTATTTTTAATTAACTACTCGCAAACCATTGCGATTATTGTAAAAGTACTCCATCAAGATCTTGGCCATTAAGTGAATCACATATTTATCAATTACTCAATTACTCCATTAAAAAGAGAGTGATTACGAAAAAAAAGGAAAAGACTGACTTTTAGAGGTAGCTTTGACTTCTTTTACCGAGAATATTTACGTTTTAGTTGTGTAATACTTTTAGAAATATGATGTAGTTAAACTCATTTTTAAGGTTTCTTACCCCAAGGAAAAATTGGAGCCTATTACCTACTAAAACTACGCTGTCCGTCTGTGTGTGTGTCTGTCCGTCTGTCACAAGGCTGTTTCTCATGAACCATGATAGTTAGACAGGTGAAATTTTCACAGATGATGTATTTCATTTGTCATTATAATCAAAACATAATAAAATAAATGTTAAAATAATTGTTAATAAAGGAATTGAACCTATTGAGTTCCCGATATTTCGGTACTGTGGCAAGCGCTATGATCACAATATTGAATCATGATCATAATCCGAATGTTTGATATAAACTTTAAAGGGGCTACAATATTACAGACGTAATTTTTTGCAGTTTTTATAGATATACATAATCTTTGTGCTAGTCCGACTCGTACTAATTCGGTTTTTTAATAACAATTAAAATTGTTTAAACGTTATTTATTTGTACAAAACTAATCAGAAATGCCGCTGCTGTAGAAAGCCTCAAACGGCGAAAATATTCAGGTATAAGTAATACCTACATATTTGAGCCGTTTGGAGTCGAAACGATGGGTCCGTGGGGCCCTGGAGCCCATCGTCTTTATCAAGAGTTAAAAAAGAAACTTTTTGACAGGTCAGGTGATCAGAAGGCTGGTTTGTACCTCGCCCAAAGCATTAGTTTAGCTATTCAAAGAGGAAACGCTTGCAGCCTTACCTGTAGGCAATGATCTGGGAGACATTTTTTATTTAGTATTGTTATTATTTTAAGACATAGTTTAGATAAGTGGTTTTGATTTATTTTCTATTATTCTTCAATTCCATTTAAATCGTAATTATACTAAGTAAAAAATTAGAAATTAATATTTTTTTGTGAACACGCTGCCTCAAGTCTATAAAAGAGAATAACAAAAACATCAAATTGAACTAAATTAAAAATATAACTCAATATTGACTTTATGGCATCGTTTAAATGTCGCATCTTTATTAATTAAGTTACCAATTTATTAAATAGATTATATATACAAATGTCACGTTGCGCAAAGAAGCAAGTATAAAAGATGAAGACATTCTATAATCTGCATCAGTCATTAGAGTTAGTTATCCACAGTAAATACTCGTAAATAATATAAACTTAAAATGAAATATATGGTAAGTCACAAATGAAACTATCCATATTACATTAATTAAAATATATATAATTTTACTTATTTTTAATAGTTTCAATAAAGTCTATATAACTTTTATGAAGAATAAAATAGACATTTATCTTATTTATTTTGAGACATTCACTGAAATTGTTATATTAGTTACTTGAATGCTCATATATTGAAGTGAACTCACAATTATAGATTACCACGACAAGCTTCATAATAACATTAAGATATCAGAAATATGGGCATGCAAAAGCAAGCGTGTTTCATGCACGAACGACATAGTTCTACGAAATTTTGTCTTGGATACGAATCTAATTCACTGATACTGTTGCTATGATAAGGACAACTTTATCCACTGCTATTAATTATATTATAATTAATTAATATTAAGGATTCTATTTATGGATTATATCTCAAATTGTAAGGGTTGTAATCGGTTTCGCCCTTGTTTTAATTTTGGAATGTTTATATGTTATGTTTGATATGTGATGTCTTTTTATTGCGGAATGGAGCTGCGCACAGTTGTAATTGGAGTGCAAATTTACACTGTATTTTAAATATAAATCAGATATAATTCTATAGCTATAATTTGTAATCTGTAATTGTGCCATTAAATAAATAAATAAATAATATTGGGTTGAAATATGAAAATATCAAAATTTTCTCGGTCGAAAACAAGTTAATAAAGTTACTATTTAGTTCATCTCACAAGTGGTATTTCGTTAAAGGATAAATGATTAAGTAAGTCATTATGTAAGCGAGGCATTGGATTCATAAAGCTTCTATTAAATTGAATCGGTTTGCGAGTAATTAATCAAATATAATTTTTGTTGATCAATGTAGCGTAGCACAATCTTCTGCCCTATCGGTCTCTTTAATTGGTTTATTCATTTTGTCCATCTTCTTCTTGTTTTTATGTGTAGCTTTAACAAGTTCGTTATTTTGGTAGGTTGTATTGGCTGCTCTGGTGGTGGTGGCACACTCAGCTTCGTTCCCAGCAAGCCGTTTCAATTCGCCCCGCTTCGGTGTTCCGAGTCCACCACCACGACCCGTTCCGTCCCGTGTCGCTCCTGCGCCAGTTCGCGCCTACAGCAACGACCAGGCTGCTAACACAGTACGCGATGACCGTGATATTAGCCCTGATGGCAGCTACAACTATGCGTAAGATTTCAATTACAAATTTATAAACACATAAATTCATTTTTATTAAGTTTTGTAGAATTCTATTTAATTTCATTGCAAAGCAAGATATAGAATTTACTTCATGGTTGGACTGATAAGGTTGCATCTTTCCACCTCGCAGTTTCGTAAGAAAGTTTTTTTATGTCTTTTAGATTTGAGACTGATAATGGCATAGCGGTTCAAGAGCAAGGTACACCTCGTGACTTCGGTGGTAACCCTCCATTAGTCCCCGTTGTAGCTCAAGGGTCCTTCGCATACACCGCCCCAGGAGGCGAGCCCATCTCCATTTCATATGTTGCTGATGAGAACGGTTTCCAACCTCAGGTAATTGCTACTGTAATTTAATACTAATCTTATAATATTATATATTATATTATATATATCTATAGGATATATGTGAAGTTTATTTCAACAAAACAAAATTTGTGATAGAAAACTTTGAAATATAACATTTTATTACATACGACTACGCTAAATTACTATAGTTTAATATAGAATATAGAATTATATATATAATATAGAATTCTTTAAAATCGGTTAAATATCAATGATGTATAGATTACTTCGTTACCTTATTATTTTATAACTAGCATTCCGCCAGCGGCTTTGCCTGCGTGTTCCCTAAAATCGAATACAACATGTTTGCCAGCTCTCAGTCATCAAAATGCGTAGATACGCATTTTATTTACCTCGATGACATTTCTCCAGAATGGACAAAATGAATTCAAATGACGGCAATCTCTAGTTACGGGACTTATTTTACAAGCATCCATGTTTTTTAATGAAGAAAAAAGAATAAACTTTAATTTGATTTTATATATAGATAATTCACTTAAAAAACATAAGTGTAAACGTAATTAACAATACCTGTTTATACCTGGCAACCCATTGGTTGCGACTGACTGAGAGCTGGCGACCATGTTTATTACGATTCTTTATATCATTGTTTTTCAACGGATATCAAACACAAATGCAATTTACCAACAAAGAATAATCACAATAGATTTAATGAAAAGTAATTGCGGCTAAATTTTGACAGGCAAACAAGGTTGTAATCTATTCTACTATCATAATATCATAATGGGATCTTGTACTATTCGATGAATGGATATCCGGCTACCTCCGTAGCTGGTTTCAAGATGTTGCCATTTCTGAGGCCCCAGATTCAATCCCAGTCAGGCCTATGTAAAAATGTTTTTTTTTTCTGTATTATCTCGCATGTTATGATACCTTCGTTGTCGCAGATACTCATTAATATGGGAACTTTAGCTAATCTATTTATTTATTCTCTTTTGAAAAACTCAACACTTTTTCTACAATTTTTTTTTCAGGGTGATTCAATTCCCACTGCTCCGCCAGTACCTGCTCAAATCGCTAGAGCCCTGGAATACCTCAGAAAAGCCGGATTCAACTAATAAATTAAATGTGGAGTGCAGTAAATATGTATTTAAATAATTGTATAAGCATTAAAAGACTTATTTGATGTGAATAAAGAGAGAACTTTTTTTTATTAAAATACGCAACTTTTAGCAGAGGTAATAAGCAGCATTTCCTACCATTGGTAGCTAAAAAGTTTACTATAATATATCATTTGTAAGTAATGTTATCTGCGGTATGTTTCTAACGGATTCAAAATGTTTGCAAATATCCTAAACCAGCGTTTCAATGAAAAAAATCTATGCGGTGCTAAAGCTGTCAAATTTACAGTCCGTAACTTATCAGTAAAATTTTTCTATCTACCCTTTTCGATCGGTCATCGTTTAAATATTTGTAACGTTTCTCCTTGTTAAAAGGGATACTAGTGTGTTTTTGTGATTTAAATTAAAATAATTTCAGGTATGATTATTCATTTCTAGTTGCTCATTTTTCAGTTTGAAAAACTTACATAATAGTAAATACCTCTTTATATAAAAATCCTGACACAAGATTCCGGTCAACCTAAACTCGCTACCTATTTGTACACGGAAGCAGTACATGAACTTTACACATTTTATTTTTCATAAAAAAGTAATATCTATTTACTAAAAAAACTACCCAATTTTGTCTGACTACAATTTAATTATGATTTTTCGTTTGTTTTCAATATCGCATCATATCACCAGTCTAATAATATCCCTACTGCTGAGGCTCAGGCCTTCCCTAAAGGTGGAATAGAATCGAATGAAATAAGGAGAATGGGCTATGATCACCACTCCACTGAGGTCAGTGTGGATTTCAACGACTGCAGATGTATGCAGATGGATGAATTACCTTATAATTTTATAATTTTTAAAACCCGTAATTAATTCATAATTTTTGAGTGCTCTGTAATACATATTATATCAATATTCATATTATTTAAACATATTTCTAATTCTAGATCTCTTCCAGAAAAGCCTTGTATATTTTGGTGAACAATAGTTAAGTAGGTCGACTTTTTCTTAGTCATCTTATTGCTAGAGATTTCCTCTATTGTCTAATTTAAATTGTCAAAATTAAGTTTTGGAACATATTCCAATGTCTGTAGAGATAGCCAAATTATTGGCCTAATAAGTAAAATAAAATACTAGCGAGGATGCTATTTGTCTCTTAAAATAAAAAGAAAGATAATAGTTATCTCTTGTCAAATATAAATTATAAATTAATTTGTTTATGTCAATTACATGTAATTCTTTATTATAATTAGCTATAGTATTTAATGTCATATTTAACTCATGTCTAATATTATTTTCCTCCAGTGGCAAATTGTTACTATAAGGTAATGTAAACATAATAATTTTATTTAGATTCAAAGAGCTTAACACTAGAAGGGTCGGGGAAATTGCATACCTTCAAAGACCGCGACCGTCAAATTGACGGTATATGATAATTACGGAGAAAATATGATTGAAATATGTACCTATGTGTGTCATAAAAACAAAATTACGAATTTTAATTAATGCTTTTAATTAAATACTTTGATTAGTTACATAAAACATTTATTACAAATAATTTTTTTAAATACTTTTTTTACACATTGACCACAAACAGCTTTCTGGCAAATAGTACATAAGTCACAAGTGCGGTTCTTTTTACATTTTGAATTAATTTGACATTGTCGTCTTTTTTGTGATGTAGAAGGCTGTTCTTCTTCAATAGTTATGTTATCCAAACGTTGAAAAGCTGATGCACTTTGTTTTTTATTCACGTACTCTGCGCGAAGTTCACTTACAAGTTGTAGAATATAATTATGACGAGAAATGTTTTCACCTGTAACTTGGCGATAAATAATCCATGAATTTATGGCGGCCAAATCTAGAATATTATAGAAGACGTGGACTGGCCATCTTCGTGTTCCAGCTCTTACAGTGTATTTTCGTGCCATTTGGTCAATTATATCCACGCCTACCTTAGTTTCGTTATAAAATTGTATAGTCTCCGGTAGTTTTTTTTTTGACTCAGCATCAATATGAATATTTTCGTGTAATGTACTCAATACAATGACATTTTTCCCAGGTTTACCTTGATAAATTGTTAGGGTTGTGTTTGTTGCCGATTTCAGTATAAAGGTTTCATATCTCTTTGTACGAATGTTTCTACAATTCGCTGGTACTTCTCGTCTTGCCCGTCTCATTGTTCCAACAATACTTGTACTTTCAGATCTAAGCTTTTCTGCCAATTTTAGAGATGTGAAAAAATTATCCGTTGTAACGTTCCGACCTTTTTTGAGGTAAGGTTGTAACAATTTCATAACAACATGTTCTGGTAACGACATATTACTTAGGCGCTCACTATCTTTTCCTAAATAAGGAAAACCCCCACACAGATATTTGCTCTCAACATCCACTAATAACCAAAACTTTATTCCAAATTTATCAGGCTTGTTCGCAATATATTGCAAAAAAGGGCAACGTGTTTTCGATGGAAATAACTGCTCATCAACAGTCATATTTTCACCAGGAATATAACACATTTGGCAATTTTCTATAAAATTATTCCATATATCAGAAATCATTGCAAATTTGTCAGTAGATAAACGTGTATTACGCGTGCTTCTCAAATCAAATCGTAAATATTTTATTATTTCTTTGAATCTATTTTTACTCATAGTATTTTTGAAAACTGGCGGACCCCATTCTAAGGACCATAAAATGTCTAGGTCTAAATGGCTCATGTTGTAAGCTCCACGTGCATAAATCAGTCCAATGAAAGCATCTAATTCATCTAAAGAAATTTCCCACGATTCATCTTGACATTTGATACGTGCTTCAGTTTCAGTGCACAACTTTATGCGTCGTAATATAAATTCTTGAATAAAAAGACGCCAAGAAGTAATAACTTTTTTGGATTCTACATACCGCTTTGCATATGGAGTGGGACCTGGGTTTTCTCTCAGTACATTTTGCCGACTTCGACGGCCCGTCGTTCCACCACTAAAACTAGGAATACACGTCCATTCAGTGCCATCACTAGCCACTTGTCTCATACCTATTTCGGGTAATGATGACGTTCTGACTTGCCTCCCACCACGTGTTATACTTCCCGAATGCACTGCTCTTCCGCTGGATCCAGGTCTTCTGCCACGACTTCTACGTATACCACGTTCGCTGTGTAAATTACTGTCCTGCGTTTCACTGTCGAAATGACTTTCAGTTGGAATGTCGGCTTCTGAATCCTCAGATGTAGAACTTTCTTGGTCTAGCTGAAAGTCTTCATCTTCGTTATCACAATGCGTTACTGATAATTCATTGCCACTTTCATCACCTGAGTCATCTTCTACAATATTACAAAGTTGCGATAACTCTCGTTCTATTTCTAAACTCGAGAGCTGTTTGGAACGCCGATTGGAACTCATTATAAAATAAACACACGACAATTCTCTTCAAATAATCAGTTGAAACTGTAAGTCATGTCAATAAACACAACATATAAATATATAGGTAAGATAAGAAGGTAGAAACAAAACTTTTGTTTATAACACTTCAAAGTATTCAAGTGCCGTCAAATTGACGGCGTCCGGTCTTATTAGGTATGAGTAAGCATACCCCGCATATCAATCATTATTTATTTATTTTTATTAAGTTAAAACTTATACAATCATAAGTTATGAAAAGTCATTAAATATGAATACAAACTGAAATACAGACAAAAAGTTATTAGCCATCAAAATTATTTTGCCGTCAAATTGACGGCCATGGCCCTTCTAGTGTTAAGCAGTTGATGTAGTTACATAATTCTCTTTTATTTACATTACCTCTGTTTCCAATTAAAATTATTAATTTGTATCATTGTCAATATTTAAAGTCAACACCTTTTTCATTAATTGATGTAATTCAATACCGGGTATACAATAATTAATAATAATGTTATCTCCCAACTGGTTATGTAATAAGTGGCCCAAGTCTTTTCCAATTTCATCACGTAATATAATAGATTTTACACATTTTTTATTATTAAAAGAGTTATTATCACTTGTACTTTGTATAAAATTTACAGAATTAAAGTTTAAGGGCTCACATACTGATTGTTTATGTTGCTTCTCCCTGGAATCCAGGCCTGGCACCAAGGAGAAAGAAATAATTTGTGTACCCTCTGATACAAAGGCATTCGATAAGTATTTTTAACTTATTCTTTTATCCACTAAAAGACATGTCAAAGTAGTAAAATGAAACGAAATATCGCCATGACTTCGCTAAGATGTCGTATCTTATAAGTCATAACTCTAGCTATGATGAATGCCATGGCTTGAGTGGGAGAGAGTGGGTGTTTGTGAACTACATTGAATTTTCTGGTCCAGCGGTCCGATTTTTTCCGGTCCGGAATGACTTACAAAATCCGGATAAAGCTTGTGCATTTGGTCGTATTTTTCCGGATCGGAGCGGCGCAGTTTAGAGCAGCTCTCTTTGAAGCTACATGTTACTTACGCTTGGTACGATCAGATTTTTAGGACGTCGGTAATTGCTTACTTTTTTACTCTACATGCGAAGACGTAGCAGACAGAAAAAAATATTGGGTTCATTTCCTTATTAATGAAAGGTACTTAAATAATGACCTGACAGGGTTATTTTACATAAACCATAATTAATTGAGGCAGGACGAAAGCATTTTTGCTACTACTATCTGATGTAAAAACTTATACCCTTACTAATTTTCACATTATTCACATTATTCAGCACTATACATATATATTAGCTAAACATATTTGTGGCATTTGAATAAAATTACTTATAAGGTAAACGCAGGTATTACCGCGGTAGTCGATAATCTGCAGGTATCGTCGAGGTATGCGATATAATTGTGGTTTTAGGCAATTGCAGGCATATTTCACTCATAAAAATAAACTTTTATGAAAGTCATCGTTTAAACTTTTGTATTGTTTAAAGTTAATCAAATTTTATCCCTTGGAATTACATTATTTACACTATCGCAGATGAAACTAACACCAATGATGAAAACAAGTTATCAATCGATATCACTTTGTCACGAAGCTATCACCGATTGTTATTACTCGGTATTAACTTCACCATAGAATTCTAATACCGATTGATAATAGCATTTATTCTTGAGTTTAGGGTTCTCTAGAAACAAATAAGCACCTCATGTGAAATTGAAAACTCTACTTTCACCTATACCTACCTATTTTTCTAACTCAAGATTTAATTTTTACGTAACAATTTCGTTGCTTTTATAAACAAATATTTTCAAAATAATATGTAAATTATACGAAAAAAAAAAATAGTTTCTATTAAATAGATATTTATTTATTATTATTATTATTTATTTATGAAGATTATCAAGACTATCAAAGTAATACATAAGTGCCATTGTTAATAATAGTACGGGTAGTAGATAATAGGTCCGTAATGTAGTGATTTTGATAAAAACTTTAGCAGAGTTAAAAATTGTTGATTGAAACTAAGAATAGTCAATAATTAGTGTATTACTAAGGGTTTTGTACGGAACATGCATATCATTTTTCTAGCCTCGGTAATAGAATCACGAATCGCGGTATTAGCTGCAAACACTTTAGCATACCTCGGTAATAGCTTCATCCGGATTTTTATGTCTAATATTTTTTTTCTTTACGTATTTCCTCAAAAACTATCTACATATTTATAGATTCCAAAAGTTCAAACCTCTGCGTATCAGAAATAAATATCAGTAACTGTTTTTACGATTGGAAATTCCTATTTCGAAGGTTTAAAACTTAACGCCTTGTTTTTACCTCAGTAATACCTGCGTTATACTTGATGTTTAAATTTATAATTGTGCAATTTTTCTTCGAGGCTTTGTAATAACAAATTCAAACGATTACAGACATAGACTAATCGTTGACGCCATTTCGTAAACAAATCGAAATTAGTGCCTTGTAAACGGAGAATTAATATGCTTAATAAACTATATGGTGGCATTTAAATCTGCCACCCTATTGTAAGTGTTAAATGTTATGATTTAACTATAATCAATGTAAGATCTGTTGGCTGTATTATATATAGGTTTGCTGTATTATACTAGCTTTTTGCCAGCGGCTTCGCCCGCGTGGTCTTGTATTATACATAAAATTTTTTCTTTTGAATCACCCTATCTATGAAAAAAAACGCTTCAAAATCAGTTGCGTAGTTTTAAAGATTTAAGCATACATAGGGATATAGGGACAGAGAAAGCAAATTTGTTTTATACTATGTAGTGATAAATACTTTAGGCGCGATTCTATACGCGTGGTATAGTTTCTTTGAGCAGAATTCTTTTTCTTTTAGAATACTTCTGTTGTCAAATAATTATTTATCTTATCAATTACCTAAAAACAAATTTTGATATTGACAAATTTCCATGCAGACTTTCATCCCCTATTTTCATCTCTTTTTCGCGATAAAAGGCAGCCTAAAAAGTTTAGGCGTAGAAGTTATCGATACTTTTGATTTGATATTGTTTTGGGTTCGATACTTTTAATATAATTATAGAATCTAGCAAAGTATCGATACTAGAATCATACTATTTTCAAATTACAACTATATTGAGTTTGCCGAGACATATCCAGTGATATTTACCAACTATATTAAATAATCATACATGATATCAAATTATATACTTTACAATAAATATCGATTATGAATTATATAGGAAATTAACAACATCGCCGAAATAAATATCGATTTTCATAAATCGATTATTTTTTCCTAAGCCTAACTCCACAGGCTCATCAATTTTCCGGATTGCGAACACAGCAGTGCACACGCGTAAACACGTTTTTCATTGCTGCCATCTCGGACCTGAAAAAACCGAGTCGGAATAGGGAAAAGTAAAATTCCGGACAGTGCACAGGCTAGCATTATCTACATATGGCCTCATATATCGGACCGGAAAAAATTGGACTGCTAGACCTGAAAATTCAGTGTAGTGCACAAACGCCCTAGGGCGGTTGTAAGCCTGATATGCGATTGTACATAGAAAATTATGGTGTGTCGATAGCCGGTCACTCAGAATCGGAATACTCCAGTTAATTGGATATTATTATGTATAATATTGTAGTATACAAGAACTTATGTAGGTCATAATCATCATTATCAACCCATTTATGTCTCTCCTACTGCAGAAGCTCAGGCCTGCTTTATCCTTACGCTTGTCCAATACGGATTGATCCGGAACCAACGGCATAAAGGACCTTCCGAAGCACGTAGTAGCTCTAAATAATAATATTTTGGCTACCCATCCGGTAAATGATCCTTGTGAAAGTCGCTTAACAACAATGATTACGGTGCTTATAAACTACTTCAGTCATGTAGGAATTTACATATATTCCCTGATAACACTGCGTTAAGAGCCATTATTTATTTTTCCTTGTTTTGTTCGAGTTTAAAAGAACTTACAAAACATGAAGGTTTAGAATCAATATAACCGTGAGAGTACAAAGAAATAAAATTCAAACATACTATTACTACTGAGCAGCGGCGTGGTTCGTTATGCTCTAACACTGTTGAAACTGTCTGTGTCATACGGGCATACATCGTCGGTCGGCAAAAATGGACCGTTATTGGGAAAAGAGGGACGGGTAGCTGTTCTACAACTCTTTGGTTATGCCTCGGAAACACCTAGAATGTTCTAGATATCGGCCCCCTATAAATACGCTGTGGTCTACCCTTCCTAGCATTTTTCAGTGAACAAGAGATCTGAGAGCGAGAACAATTGAAAGCGAAGAGCAATAATTTATATAACAATATAAATAAACATTTATTTATCTATAAGCGTAACAAAAGAAAAGCTAAATTGTCATTTCAGAACTGGCTACAACAACTTGATTACGATGCCACAGAGAATCTACTACTTGTAATCTCATGATTACGATCATTTTTTATATGTATTGGGTTTATCAAGCACAGACATACACACACGCACACACACGCACACACACACACATACACTCACACACTCGCATGCGCGCTCAAATTGTAATAATTAAGTAATATTTCCTTATAACTACATATAGGTTTATTTTTTTGATGTGGGGGCCTGGTGATCTGCACTTCAGGCCATAATCGGTTCCTTCGCAGACTCCAGTCTCTCACAAAGGTAACTCTGGTAATTGAAACTCTGTACTTCAACCTATTTACTACCTTTGTGATGAGAAAATAAATAAATAAATAGTGGTGAACGATCTAATAGTGTTGTGAAGTCTTATTAGTGACGTGAAATAGTGTAGTTGAAGTGTGAGATTTCAAATTTTGTTGTGTTAAATAAAGTCGGATTGTTAAATAAGTGGCCTTAATTTTTATCCCGAACCCCAAGTAGTAACACTAATATTGTATTTGAAAATAAGCAATACCTCATATGTGTAAGGCATTTATTGAGATAAAACACGAAATATACTATATAAAAAAGAATTGTAAAGATTCCTCTATTTTTTATATACCTAGGTCTATTGTATAAAATTGGTTACTTGTCAGTCAGTTTATAAACAAAGGCTTTATTAAGAACCTTTAAATTAACGGTCAGGTGTACGAACGTCCTTTAAGGTTTAATGACGCCATTAACCGCTAATGAATATCAAATTTATATCGGTAATGTCGCTTTAAACTAACGAAACTTAAACGAAAAATATTGTATTTGAAAATAAGCAATACCTCATATGTGTAAGGCATTTATTGAGATAAAACACGAAATATACTATATAAAAAAGAATTGTAAAGATTCCTCTATTTTTTTATATACCTAGGTCTATTGTATAAAATTGGTTACTTGTCAGTCAGTTTATAAACAAAGGCTTTATTAAGAACCTTTAAATTAACGGTCAGGTGTACGAACGTCCTTTAAGGTTTAATGACGCCATTAACCGCTAATGAATATCAAATTTATATCGGTAATGTCGCTTCAAACTAACGAAACGTTTGTGCAAGTGGCTGTAATTAATTAAAAATAGCTTTTGATGCGGAATATGCCATCATCATCATTACCAGCCCATTAATGTCCCCAAAGCTGGGGTTCAGGCCTGCCCTATGGATGGAATCGAATCAAAGCGAATAGGGAGAATTGAACCCATTCCGTGGGCCCAGTGCGACTTGGTGGATGTTAACAACTGCAGATGCAACCGGGTCCGACGGTTTAACGTGTCTTCCAAATTACCGAAATACATGAGATTTTTGGTCATCTGTCTTATGACCGGTCCTAAAAGATATCTAAAATGATTTATATGATGATTTATACAAAAGTAGCATCATAATTATGTTATTGGTTCAAATCATGCATTTTTATTAAATATGTAGATGATATTATACCAATGTCATCTTGCGTAAAGTAGCGAGTATAAAAGATTAAGACATTCTATGATCTGCATCAGTCATTAGAGTTATCTAGTCAACATTGAATATACGTAAATATTTAGGAAAATTCTAAAAATGAAATACTTGGTAAGCGGTATATAAACTTGTAGCTATTTTTATTAATAAACTATTTTATTTCTAATTATTTAATTTTAATATTTAATTTAAATGCTGCATTTTGTTACTTTTATACAAGTAAAATACTTTCTTATAAGCTTAAAATCCTTTTTTAGGGAAGAAAATTTTAGATAAATCATTATTATTATTTCTTTTTATTGGTCATCAATTACCTAGTTCGTTATTTTGGCAGGTTGTATTGGCTGCTCTGGTGGTGGTGGCACACTCAGCTTCGTTCCCAGCAAGCCGTTTCAATTCGCCCCGCTTCGGTGTTCCGAGCCCACCACCACGGCCCGTCCCGTCTCGTGTAGCTCCTGCGCCAGTTCGCGCTTCCAGCAACGACCAGGCTGCTAATATAGTACGCGATGACCGTGACATTAGCCCTGATGGCAGCTACAACTATGCGTAAGATTTTAATTACAAATGAATACACAAATAAATTCATGTTTATTCAGTTTTGCAGTATTCCATTTGATTAGATTACAAAGCCAGATATAGAATTTACTTCACGGTTAAATTGATAACGTTGCATCTTTCCACCTTCTAGTTTCATAAGAATGTTTTTTTATGTCTTTTAGATTTGAGACTGATAATGGCATAGCGGTTCAAGAGCAAGGTACACCTCGTGACTTCGGTGGTAACCCTCCATTGGTCCCCGTTGTAGCTCAAGGGTCCTTTGCCTACACCGCCCCAGGAGGCGAGCCCATCTCCATTTCATATGTTGCTGATGAGAACGGTTTCCAACCTCAGGTAAGTGAAGGAAGGTTAAATGCTACTTTTAATATTAAATCTATTTAGTCGTCAGATAATACTAGAAATTGTCTAAAATGGATAAAAGTAAAACAGAAACTGAAAAAAAATTGGAAACCTAGATAGTTTTGTTAATTGAGAAGTGACAATGAAAGTTTCTATTTCCCAAGAAGATGTATTCAGGAATTATTTCGTGTTCACAAAACTCAAAAAGTGCTTGACGAAATATTTTTTTATATGTACAAATTATTACATTTTCGTATATCAAATCGCTTTTGATTGCACATTGAAGCATGACGAATTGTGTTTATTATTATTATGTAAGCAATTTCTACTTGTATGTTAAACCTTGAAATAAAAATTGATTGCATATTTTTTTTACGATAACCAGACAACTGACGTCGTATGATTTGATACAGCCTAATTATTTGAAGTCGTTCCTAATGATACGGCAGCAACGTATGGTTTTGTCCCACTTTTACTTGATATCGAAGAACTATATAATAACAACACTTCGATCATACTAAATTATGAAGGTTTTATAAAGTGTTTTGTTTTTCAAGGGTGATTCAATTCCTACGGCTCCTCCAGTACCTGCCCAGATCGCCAGAGCACTAGAATATCTTGCCAGACAAGCTTCGGGTGGAAGCAGATTTTAGGAAAAAAAATTATTACTAAATTTGAAATGTCTGAAATTACAAGTGCTATAACGACGAAGTAAGAGAAATTTATTTTGTAAGTCTAAAGAATTGTATAATAATAATAAAGGCAGTTAAGAAGATTTTTCTATTTTTATTTAATAACCTGTTTTTTTTTACTAAAACTGCTTTTTTATAATAAGTATCTCGTAAATTTACTACTGTCAAACAAGAATGGGATTTATAACTTGACTGTCCAACTAGTATTTTTGATAAATTTGCATTCTATATATCTAACCAAAATAACTCAATTGGTAGAACAGTCCACTCGAAATGTTATAAGTTTGAATACTGATGCGGACATCTGGGTCTTTTTAAATTTTACAATAATCTTCTATTAGATGATTAACTTAATTTCTAAAGTTTCTTAAACTTAGTTCTACACTGTCATGAGTAGAAATTATTGACTGAAATTGGAGGATTAAGTTAATTAAGAATAATATTTTTGGTATGCTACCTGTCTATGTGGTTCACTTAAAAAAAATCTATTACAAACTTTTAAACTGTCGCGTTGCATTATATTAGATTGTATAAGACGGGTATTAACGTGATAAACTTATTTTTAGCCCGCGACCACGGCCGGAGTAATCTGGTCGAAACGTCGGGAAATATAGGTAGGAGAAAAACCTAACCATCGAAATCTATCGTGTTAATACCCGTCTTATACAATCTAAATCTATTACAAATAATAATAAAAGTAATCATTCATCGTATATTACCTTATAATTAATATTTTAAAATGTACAAAATATTATTTCATTCATTTTTATTCGACTAAGTATACTGTCTTTTCCTATTTGATTTTTTAAATTATTTTTATAATAAAATTTATAGATACTGAAAATAATATTGATGTGATACCAAGAGTATGTATCATATAAATATTACATAAGCAAGCATTGTAAGCCTGTAGTCAAATTTTGAAAATATAAAATTTCATGATTGCAGTTGTCACCTAGAAAAATCACAAGCAAGTACTAATTGCATATAAATACACTCTGCCGTAATCAATTACGGCTTAGGTTTAAATTTAAGTGGCAAAAATTGAAAGTTTTGTATATTCCGACGTGATGTTGACTGTATTATAATACAATTAGTTAAAAAATAAATAATTTAAAGAAAAACAAAAAACCCGACTGCGTAAATCTTCCCAAGGGGCCCCGATTATGAGTCGTTCTGTTGTGCATTAGAATTTATGATTTGTTTTATGTATATATATTGTTTTTTTTTTTTCAGTTTTTATTAAAGTAATATTTACATTTATTTTTTAAAATTCGTTTTTACGCAGTCGGGTTTTTTGTTTTTCTTTAAATTATTTATTTTTATTTTATAATCTTTAGTTACGATTCGTTAACTTCGCAATAAGATGGCAAATTTCGCAATATAGTCATTTTATTGAGGGAGTTGATATCGTTTGTTTAACAACTTTAGATCGTTATATATCCTAAACTATTGCTTAAAATGAAAAATGACAAAAGGAACCTAAAAATGACAAAAGATGATTTTAAAATACCTATTCAACGACACCCCACTTGACATAGTTCATCGGTTTTTTTGTATTTTGAGAATATGGCGTCTGGTTGTCGGTGTGGTGAATTTTGATTACTCTCATGTCTTTAGTGACACTCGCAAGATTAAGACGAATCGATTGACGTAAGAATCGTCAAAATCGGCTTACACATTTGGTCTCTAGAACGCCACATAGAAACAAACATACATATATACACAGACTGATAAACTTATTACCCTCCCTTGCGTTGCGCATTCGGGTAAAAAGCACGGGAATGGATTATTTGTTTATGGTTCCAAATTCAAATTTTGTTTTTTTTCTTTGATGTTGTTAGATTAGATAACTGTTTTCCATTTTGGTGCGGAGTTTTAGTTGCACCTATTAATTTATATTAAATACATTGTTGTTTTTAGCGATGCCATATCTAGTGTGTGTATTGCGAATTTTACTATGGACAAAAACATTGAACAAAGAGTTTGTCTTAAATTTTGCATCTTTAATTAACTTTCGTGTTTGGAGTAACTGAAATTGTTAAAGAAAGCTTACGGTGAATCGAATTTATCAAAATTTGTGCTTATGAGTTCAAAAGTGGTTGAAATGTGATAGAAGATTTGCTTCGTTTGGTAGGCCATCATCGTCTGCAACTGAAGTTAACATCGCAAAAGTAAACGAAAAAGTGACTGAAAATCCTCATTCGACTTTGAGAGAGATAGCCGCCGAACTTTTTGTATTTCACGAGTCGATCCGCACCATTTTAACAGGGTATGAAATATTTTATACCGCTCGGCTAGTCTCAAAAGACCTGAATTTTCTCCAATCGCATGATAGTCGCTGAGGACATGCTAGAACGAGTCAATTCCGACCTTATTTTCAGGAAACGCATTGTTACTTGTTATGTTTGTAGCACGATTGAATAAATGATCACTAATTATCTCATGTAGTTTATTAGGTATTTTTACATGTAAAGTATTAAGGTAAGCCAGTAAAAGGAAACTATTAATATCTTATATCTTGTAAAGTCATAGAGATGAAAAACCACAGAGTCCTTATTACTAATTACAAACTAATTATTCCTGAATATGAAATAATCACTTATCGACTTAACACTCCCCCAAGTTGTAAATAGAAAGTAATAAAACAGTTAGAACATTAATTAATTATAAATCTAATTTTTCAGGTTTGCGCCTTGATCTTGTAGACCGACGTAGTTCAGTATATATTTTCGCTGTAGCAGGCATTGTAGTAGTTCCTGGAGTCTCTGATATTTCCTTAACATTTTCTTTAACTTTCTCCATTATTGTATATCAGTTTTTCTCTTCTATTTTCTCTTCACTCTCTTTAGTGTTTGTAAAATTCTCTTCAGTGTTAGTAAAGTTGCATTTAGGCACCATGTTGTAGTTTGGCCCTGTACATTGTGTTCCCATCATCTGGTTTGCATGTCTTCGGTGTATTACGCCATCCACCTCAACTTCATAATTTAATGTACCACTTTTATTATTTACTTTACCAAATTTCCATTTTATGTCATCATTTTTGTAATTTCTTATTTGAACATTTTCACCTTTCTTGAATTCTTTCTCTTGTAAGCCTTCTTTTCCTTCTTTATTTTCATTTATGTATGTAGCAAAATTTCTTTTTACTAGATCTATATTTGTTCTGTAGCATCTTTTGAACATAAGCTCTGATGGACTTAAACCAGTTGTATTATGGGGTGTTTTTCTATGTTGTATTAATAACTTGCATAACTTATCTTGTAGAGATCCCTCTTCTTCCATCATTTTTCTTAGCTTGTCCTTTAATATCTGTACATATCCTTCGGCTTGGCCGTTTGTAGATGGGTTATAGGGTGCTGTAAATTTCTGCTGTATTCCATTACTTTTTAGATATTCTTTCATCTCATAACTATTGAATTGTGTTCCATTATCTGATACTATAGTAATTGGAAATCCGAATTGTGTAAATACCATTTTTAGCATTTTTATTGTATGGTATGTAGTTATTTTGTTTGTTGGTATTGCTTCAAACCATTTGGTGTAAGCATCAACAATAATAAGAAAATAAGTATTGCAGAATGGACCAGCATAGTCTATATGTAATCGTGTCCACGGTTCTGTTGGAAATTCCCATGGGTGTACTGGTAATTTTGTAGGGTTTTTTTCTATGTATACAACAGTTTCTGCATGAACTTACAAAATTTTCTATATCTTGATCTATATTTTTCCACCATACATAACTTCTTGCAATAGCTTTCATTTTAACTATTCCTGTATGTGCCATATGTAATTCATCTAATATTCTTTTCTGTAATGATTTTGGTATAACCATTCTTATTCCTTTAAATATGCATCCATCTTGTAATGAAAATTCTTGTAGCGTATTTGTATTGCCTTTTCCTGCTTGTAGCTCATTCATTAATCTTATGCATTCTTAATCTTTTGCTGTAGCTCTTCGTATTTCTGTATTTATAACTGGCATAATTTCAATTTGGTTTAAGTAGAATTTATCATCATCTGTGTAATCATCTTTGTTTATTATACCATTAGTATTTTTAATGTTCCTGGAGAGGTTATCAGCATTTGTATTTTCATGAGTTTTCTTTACTTTTATTTCATAATTAAATCCTGCTAAATAGTTAGCATTGTGTACTAGTCTCAATGCAGCTGTAGCTGGTAATGCTTTTTCTGGATTAAGTATTCTCGCTAGAGGTTGATTATCAATAATCAAAGTAATCTTGCGTCCGTAACAGAATTGAAAAAATTTCTTCAACCCCCATATAAGAGTTGCTGCTTCTTTGTCTAGTTGACTATATCCTTGTTCCGCTTTTGTAAGCGACTTAGATGCAAAAGCTACTGGTCTTTCTTCACCGTTGTGCATAATGTTTGAAAGAACTGCTCCGAAACCGGTTGGTGATGCATCTGTAGCCAGTGTAACTGGTAGTTCAGGGTGAAAGGGTATAAGTACTTTATCACTGCAGATCTCCTTCTTTAGACTTATAAATGCGTCTGCACATTGGTGATTCCAGACAAATTTGTTATTCTTCTGTAGAAGTTTGTATAAAGGGTGTAATTTCATAGCTAAGTTTGGAATGTACTGTTGGTAGTAATTAACAATACCAAGAAATTGTCTCAATATATGTACATCATATGGTCTTGGTGTATCAATTATATCTTTGATTTTATCTTTTGTAGGATGAAGACCATCACAATCAATTGTATGACCTAAATATGTAATAGATTTTTGTAAAAATTGACATTTCTTCTTCTTGATTCGTAAACCACATTCCCGTGATTTCTGAAATACTAGTTGTAACCTATGTAACAATTCATCATATGTAGATCCTTGTATTGCAATATCATCGTAGAAACATGCTGTTCCCGGTATGCCTTCTAAAGTTTGGTCCATGTAACGTTGCCACTGATTTGGAGCTATCTTGACACCGAACATAAGTCTCTTTACCTTGTAAGTTGTACTTTTACCTTGTACTTTTGATGTACTTATCGCTTGCATTTCAGCTGTATTTTCATCGACCTTCATGTTAAGATATGCTTGGTTTATATCTAATGTGC